CCGTTAGGCACTGTTCTCCCTGACGGGGACCCTGCGTACAAGAGAAGGAAACACCGTCTGGTGGAGACCTTCCTCCGCTGTGCTTACGCCCGAGCCCATTGTTGCAGCCGCTCGTCAATCCATCTCGTCCAGGGTCTTCCTCTTTCCAAGCCACGGCAGCGTTCTTCACTGTGGACACAACAGTGTGAGGACTTTGCCTTACATTCTAAGGCCCTGGTCCACAGGTGGTCGGTCGGCCCCTTCTAGGCAGAATCTCACCCTTCTTGGGAAGAGGCCCTGCTTGGATGGGCTAGCGGTGAATGACCCCAAAGACCAGTAGGCGCAAATTGACTTTCTTTCCAATCCCTCTTCCCATAAAACCTGAGAAAGAAACGCGATCTGCCGTCCACTCAGGCCAGCGACTCCATCGATACAGCCCTGATTTCAGAGGAGCCAGAGTCCCAAGGAGTTAAATGTTCCATCACTCAGGTATCAGAGAAGAAGAAAGCAGATCAGGTTTCTTCATTTTTTTCCTAAGGGGTGCTTATGGGGTTCAGGAAGTTTGTTTCAAGCACAGGAAACTGAGGAATAATAAATGATTTAAGAGGTATTTCCGTGAACATGGATTTTTCTCATTAACTTGGGACTCAGCAAAAGCTCCTTCCTTCTGTTTACTGTTGGAAAGACTTTTAACATGTATTCATCTGTTTCTTTTTTTGCATTGGTTAAGTAGAATAAACCACACAAATACTCCCTGGGTGATTTTGAGGTTATTTCAGCACCCAGGGGTCGGCTTTCTAGTCATTGCTCTGTAAGGGACTGAAGGCATACGAACTCGCAAACGGAAATTCCTCTGCTAAAAAACGAATCCTCACATGAGCATTTCCCACGAGTTCCTTCTTTAAAAGCAGACTGCCACAAAAATTGAGTTGAATGCCTGTTGAAAGCAAGAATGGCACAAATGAGCAGCGATGCTCCCTGTATCCCGTCATCTCTTCACTGAACAAGGGATCAACCGTGTTGACTTTTCAGTCAAGGTCAAATAAGCGATGGGAATGCCACTTTAATACTCGGGAACCACTCGACCCAATGAGCTCTTTGCAGAGGGCTGCCTAGGGGCAAGGGGATGGGTGGTAAGAAGGTGCAAAAAGGCCGAGTCTGTCTGCACACACCATGTCCCCACGTGCACTGATCAGGCCTGGGGCTTGTCTCTCAGCTCCAGGCCTGAAGCCCATTCTCAGCAGAGGTGTTTGTGTCTCGAGATTGTTTTCCCCAACTCCTAGACTCTAAATCTGTCTAATAGCTGGACACCCTACGGAGATGGTCTCAGCTGACGTGAAGGGGAGGCAGAGGCAGTGTCACACGGTGACAAGGACAGACCTGCACATTCTGCAGAGCCTCTGAGCTACCTGGCGAGGCAGACGCCATTCACTCCTCACTTTGACCTGTAGGAAAGACTGGCATGTTCCAACACTCTTGTGGCTTCACTAAACGTTTTCTAAACCTGAGTCTGGTGGGGCCAGACGTACACATGGTAAACTCATGTTTTATAACTGAATGAAAAAAAATTTATTTCATAAACCAGTACACATTTCCCCATACTCTGATTATCTATTCCCACTTTTTGGTTTGGTAAATTCATGTAACTAATTTCAAACTAAAATATTTTGAGTATAATAAACCTTTCTGCATCTGGATGGGAATTATCTGTGTGGAGAAAGAATCAAATCTGTGTACACAGGGTTTTATCTTAATGAGAAAGGCCAGTTTGAGTCATTTAAAAGTTAATATGAATTTCCGGCAAGTTTTTACAGTTTAATTCTTCTATTTTTCTTTCTCTCCCTTGGGTTTACACAAAGACCTTGTGTTTACACTGGACCAAAGAAAGCTGGTGGGCTACTTTTCAGATTCTCTAGTAAGGCTCTTAAAAAACAGTGGTGGTGGACAAGAGGAGCTACTTGGGAACATCAGAAGCCATCTCCCTGGGGTACATGGCAATTCTAATGATAGTATCATTAATTTAGCTAACGATAGGGAAATTAAAATACTGTCAAGGGAACTATACATGCACAGGATAGTTTTTTAGACTAAACCACATGGCTTGTTGACTTGTGCAGATTAAGAACTCAAGGGACTGGACACTGGTCACACAAACAAGGCTGGAGACAGGGCAGAGCTTGTTAAGAGTGCTCACAGGAGGCCCGCTGCACAGCATGCAGGCATGAGCGAGCAGCCGACAGACACAGAGAGAGAGAGAGAACGGAGCAGCGCTGGAAGAAAGGCTACGGCCTAGTTCAGTCACTGCCTCCGTGTGCCTCCGTCCATTCTTCACCTCAGAACAAGCGCTGCCTGCGGCAGAGTTCATCCCTCTGTCAAAGCTTACTGGTAAAAGCAAACAAAAAATGCACAAGGTGCTTGAATATAGTTTATTGGCTGGCTCGAATAGCATTTTAATAGCAAAACTGTGTTTACATTATAATAGTGTACAGCTATCATCCCAACCGTCTTATTCATAATACAAAGTAATCTGAGATCATACATACATGCCTTAGCATTTGAAATCTCTCACCTCTGTGACAGAGACAATACACAGTCCTACAGAGATATACATAGGGATGCTAGTCAAGTACTTCCTTCGCCACCTTGGGTGGGATTTATTTAATCATGAATCAGTAATATAGAGACATGATTCTGAAAATTAAACCAAAAAAAAAAAAAAAAAAAACCTGTTCAGTTCTCTAGAAATACCTTTTCTCTTAAGTTTAGTATATTTATAACTTTTTTTTTACAAAGAATACAAATGAGCGTTTTACTTCCACACCTTGACGATCCCGTCCCTGGAAGCAGTAACGATGAAGCCCTGGGTTGTCTGGAACGTGGCGACATCTGTGATGATGTCATGGTGTCCCACAGGCAGACACTCGGGGCCCTTCCGAGGGGTGTCGTCACTGGGTCCCACCTTCTGCTTATTCTGAATTTCCTGTGTTGTGGGGAGAGCCAAGAGTTAGAAGCCAGTGTCACGAGCTGTGCCCTCCTGTTTCATGATGTTACTTCTGGGATAGCCGCATAGATGAGGGGGGAATCCAAATAAAAGTTCCCAGAAAGATCCCATTATCTCTCAGTGCCATGTTTCCATGAGCCTTCTGAAGCTCCCTTGGATACATCTTTTTTTTTCTTCACGCTAACACCTTTAATGAAGTTGTTCTGTGAGCCAGCCCCGTGGCAGTTTGCGAAGGCTCCAATAAGGGCACTGAGCAGAAGGAGGTCAGAGAAAGGCCCCAAGGATGACCCAGGTTTGCAGGCACTGGGTCCCACGAGCCCCAACAAACCCAAACCTCCTGCGACAGTCGCTCCAGACTCACAGTGACTCTAGCCACCGTTTCCAAAACGGCACACCTCTCTGGTTCACCGCTGCCACCGCCGCCACCACCGCTTTCTTTAGAACCAATATAAAAAGGTTTGAGCCACAAAGCGAGGAGAGGGAACTGGGTTTCTTTTACAGTCACTTCTTTACAGCAAAAGGTCTGGTTTGCCTTGAGCACTGTGCTCTTTTAAACGACATATATCGGGGAGAAGAGGTTCTCTTCTCCCTCCTGTTAAGGAGTCCCAGTCTCAGAAACTGGCCCTGTCTTACATGGTCACCAGGAGTCGGCATTGACTTGATGGCAGTGAGTTTTTATATGGCATTAAACTGACAACAGCAACCCCAGGATTAGATAGGATCCTTAAGGGCAGGGAGAGTAAGTCGATGGGGGAGCAAGAACTTGGAAAAGGAAGGTGAGGATGGTTACACAGCCCAAAGGATGTGATCCGCATCCCTGTCCTGCACATGCAGTGTGCTGAATTGGTGTGCGCTCAGCAACTATGTGTGCACACACGTACTCACATACATATGTTAAATGCACTGTCTTGGAATGTTCATAGCAACATTATTCACAGTAGCCTGAACTACCCAAAGAGGCAAACAGAAAATGAATAATCATGGTACACTCACTTAATAAAAACAGCAATAGGAGTCAACCATTCACAGCTACACACAATGTGGACGAGTCTCACAAACATCATATTGAGCAAAAGAAGAAAGCATAAATACAATATGGCTTAATTTATACAAAGTACCAGAGGCAAAATTAATCTACGCTGCTGAAGTCAAGACAGCAGCTAGGTCCCCTCGCCAGAGGGTGCAGGAGGAAAGCTGTGACAGGCGGAGAGGGTGGGGAGGGCATCTGGAGAGCTGGCCGGGGCCTGTTTCTCCGTCTGCTGTCACAGCTGTGTGGGGCTTGGGAAACCCACTGAGTCAAGGGCACTGTGAGTACTTCCTATATTTACTGTTTCTCCATAAACATTCCTTTAAAATATACAGCAGAGCTAAGAACATAAGCATACTCCCTCCTTAAACTCAAAGAAATATTGCCACCATTGGACAAAACTACTGACTTTAATCAACTCTATGGTTAGAAGAGGCATCTTGTGTCTGCAAAAGTTGAAAGAAAAGTGAACGTGGACTGCTGTACCTGGATAACCTCGGTGCCTTCGATGATCTTCCTGTAGTAGGACACGGATGGGGTGCTCATACTTCCCGCCACAACGTAGGACCGCTCTGGGTAAGCCAGGTCCCAAAACCTGGAGCAGGGGAAGGAGATGGTGAGTCACCTCTGAAGAAAACGCGAGGAATGATCACTGGTTGACATTCATCAGTGCACAGCATAAAACTGTCACAGATACAGTACTGACAGATGTCCCTGCACGACACGAATGATTTTTTTAGACATTACGGTAATGCTACTAAGAGCAGCCTTATATTAACCAAAGTGTATACACACACACACACACACACACACACACACACACGCGCGCGCGCGTGCGCACTGTGTAGCCCTTCTCTTCTAAGTCGCACGAGTGTCTCTTCCTAATACGGCACCTTATTTTCATGTCTGAGCCAGCGGTGAGCAGGATCGGATTCCCCTCTGCGGGGCTGCAGTAGATGCCATGAACACTATGGGAAGAGGGCTGCAGAGAAACAGGCAGGTGGTCAAACAACAGACACCAATAAAAACGGTGGTGCTCTTTCCAGGGCACGCGCTGCCAGTAACGCAACTGACTGCAGGTGCCTGGCTAGCAGATGACATCGGAGACCCACGTGTAATGTCCCGGCGGCTTTCACCCTCGAGACCTTCATGTAACGTGTCCTTTTCCACTCTGGGTGGACACAGCCTGCTCAGCTCCGGGACACTCTCTCCCACCATTTTCAGGACCACCCTGAGCAGGACTCTAACTGAAAAGGGGGACAGGACGGGACATCCTCCCTTTTGCCCCAATGACGTGCCCTTGGCAAAAGAACAACTGAAAGGAAAGGACCATGATGTAACAGGACACATTTTATTTTTAAATAATCTACCTTTCAATCTGGGGCTTTTTCACGGGGTTTCCCTGTGGCCTGACCATGTTTAGGAAGCTGGCCATCAGGATATCCAATGATGCCACCATGGGAGCTCCTGGGGACAGAACCCCACCCCCACCCCCACCCCTCACCAGCACCACGATGCTGGCTGGCAC